GGTTAGTCTACAAACGTCGCCTAAAGTAATCGATTTTACCCAGCAGAACGAAAGAAGGAAACTCCGTTTTCAATCGTCTTAGGCCCTTGTTTTATGACAAACAATGACCTTTCAGAGGTCAAATTGCTGTCAAGAATATGAATTGGCTGCTTCGCAGCAATTAATTATTTATTTTATATTTAAATTCTGATGCAAAATTGTGTTTAAAAACCAATAAATTATTTATAGGCCTAGGTTGAGTTAATTTTAATTAAACAGCTTCAAAACATACATATAATTGTAGCTATAAAAACTAAGAATAGTGGGTGAAGACATTATTATAAAGGTGGGTGGGTCATAACATTGGTAAACTATAAGAGTGGATTAAAATATATTTTGAACAACTGAGATGAAACTGACAAATTATACTCTCAATGACAAATACGTTTATATCATTTTATTAGTTGGCAGAAGTGCCATTTAAGGGTGGGCGGGTGATAATACTACTAGTAATAATAAGTGGATTAAAATAAAGGTGTTAAAATATGGTTTAAATCTAATGAAATATTAACATTTATAATCAAGAAACAATTAATCTAACTACAAAAATAATAGACTTATGATGCTATATAATTTATAATTTGGACACAATGAAAATTTTAATAAGCTAACACCCCACTCCCCACCCACAAAAAATACAGACTTGGCCAATACTACAAAAAAGTAGGCAAATCAAAACTATCTATCTCATAGATATTTCTACTGTAAATTACTTTTTGAAAATAACAAATTTGCTATGAATATCATGCAATCTAGCAATTATAATTTATAAACACAAAATGAATATGTAATTCATAACAAACGAGGTTGACACTAGATTGATAAAATATGCAGGTACTACCTTACTTGTTTAGCCTGGAAATCATACTATGCAACCACATAATTGTCATTCAATTTACCGAGACAAACTTGAGGTGATGTAAAGGGCTTTACTTCCATGAATCATTCAGCGTTAACACTGAGCTCATGATCAAACATATGAATCCCGTTTTTCAAATGCATGGTTAAGCAACACCGTGGTATATAGGAAACCACAATGTTGAGTGTAAAATCAATAATTGGTTAGTGAGGTGTAATGACCCAGTTTAAGGCCACCACTTACTACTTACTACTCAGCTCACTTATGACATTTTAGGATAAATTTAATACCTTGTATAGTATAGTAGACTAAGAATTGTCTATATATCTAGTATGTCTCATGTACTAACATTCTTTGTTGGTTCAAATACAAACATGAATAGGCCTACTCTTACATAAGTTACTTAATTTATTATTTATCAATTCAACATGAATGAATGCTGGTTATGTTTTCACCTGTTTTTTTATTTAGCTATTTATTTGACTGTCGGCATATTTCTTGTGAACAGCCTACAGTCCACAGTTTTTATCAGAAATCCGTCGAACTTGGCCACAATGTTCCTTTACCTAAGATCTAGAGCTGATTAAATTTTGAAGGGACAAGGTCACAATTAACGAAAAACTATTTTTTAAAATTTATTTGTCTACTGCCTTTGTTAAACTCAGTCACAATGTTCCATGACCAAAGATCTCATTCCATCTGCGAATCCAGTATGGGGTGGGGGAAGGGGAGGTTGTGGAAATTTAAGGTCCAGCCACCTCCACCAATCAACACCTCAAATTTACGTAAACACGTCGGATCAACAGGGTCGGATCCAGTAAGGGGGGTTGTGGGAAGATCAACAGCAGCAGATCCAATGAGGTGGGGTGTTGGGCACATGCATCCCTTTTTGCCACATTTTTTTTTTTTTAATTTCAATGCATATTATGTTATGTGCTACTCCCTTATCCATTCTAAAACTGTTGTGTGGCCTCTCCCCCTTCCCATTAGAAAAATTCTGGATCTACCCTTCATCAAACTGGACTGGACAGCACGGGATGCTGCTAGTTGATTTAATTTTGCAAAGCTATTTATTCTATGGATCTTACCAGTTCATACTATTTTAAAGCATTTAACCTGGCAGTTACACATGATAAAAATATTAAAGTCCCATTCCCAGCAAAATTTCACTAAAAAAATTTTTTTTTAGAAAAAATGCACATGTTGCATTACTCTATTTATTATATCCAATGGAAAACTATTGGCATAAATTTTAGTTTTACGCAAAAGAATAAAAAATAACTTAATGAATCTCTCTCTCTCTCTCTCTTGTTATACTGTAGTAAAAATGTTACGCAACTAACAAAAAAAAATAATTTGCATAAGTTAAGAGTCTGATATACTTCCTGTGATCTAATCTACACCTTCAATGATTACTAAACTTACTATTACTACTTACTGCAGTACCTGTTCCTTCCCAGTTTGTTTAGCAAGTGTTTAAGCCGTCAGCCAAATAGCCAAACCATAATAAAAGCTGAATTTTGCTCAATATTTTCATTCAAAATTAGATTAAAAGCTAATTGAATTGAATCTATCATTGCTTATATTCTTTTGTTTTGGATAATCCAATTTCTATTTGGCTACAGGTAATTGTTTTCATCCCAAATAACGAAATTTTGCTAAATATATATTTTTGGCCAGCTTAAAAACCAGGTTTAGTTCACATTTAAAATTTTGGTTGGCAATATTCAGGATGGCGTTCTTGTACCTTTTTTATTTAACTTAGGTAGTCTAGGCCGTCTTGTTCGTCCACGGACCAGTTGCGGCTGCGAGATATTCAAAAATTCAACCCAAATAAGGGTCATTGTATGTATGGATTGGGAATGTCAAGTATATTGTTACAAGTGTTAAATTTAGATATCAATGTACAGTGCAACATTGGCAGCAGATTACTACGGGAGTTACCTACAGAGAAATCACCTGTAATAAATATAATAAGGCCTAAGCCTAGGCACTAGGTAGTCCAAATCTATGCCAGACTGTATACTGTAGTAAGGTCTGTGCAGGGAATATGCTTTCTGGTCAAAACAGCAATAAACCAAAACAGCAATAAGTCAAAACGGCAATGACCAAAACGGTCGTTTTGGTCATTTTGACCTGCTACCGAATATCCGCCACACAAAAATTTGACCTAGAAATTCATCAGCACATTTCTGAAAATTAGCTTCGATTTTCATCCAAATTCTGCCAAAATTTTGGCTTTGACCTAAATTTAATTTATAAACAATGTATAATGCAGTCAGCACTATTTTGCAAAGTTGAGCGGGTTTTTGTGGTATCGCCTGCGCAATTAAATTTAAAAAATTTACAGTAAGAAATCTAGATGCAAAAGGCAAGTTACTTGCACAAGAATGAATAATTGCTTCCATTGACCAGTCCTGACACCAGATGATTAGCAGCACTTACTTAAGTTTGGCCTGAAAAGCTCAATTAACATTTTACTGTCTTTGCTCTTTGGTGGTAGTAGTAAGGCCGGCCTAGGGTAGGGTCTAGCCTAGGCCTACATCAGGGATGTTAAAAAGACAACCTTAACCAATCAATAGCGTTCTAATCTATCGCCATATAATTTATAATGCTTAATTATAAGCTCCAAGATGACAATGTATTAATATAAAATGACATGTTTTCAAACAGGTTGAGAATAGACTATGCTTTTTGTAATTGAAAACTATCATCAACAAATACCTAAAAAAAAACGCCTTCATTTAAGCTCAGCACAACCCAGACAGCAGCAGTCAGTTAGTCAGGTGTCCGACTCGAAAAGGCTCGAGCAAAGCAAGCAGGACTTTCTTTGGTGTAGGAAATAGCTGTACAGCTTTCACAATCTCTGCAAGTATTTCCAATTTACGGAATATGCGTTCCGTCGAAAATAAATAGAAACTTACCACACTAACAAGTCAAACTTGCTACGGCCACCAGGAGTGTACATACGGCCAAGGGCCAATGCCTTTAGGCTAAGAATCTCGAAACAGATTGAGAATTTGCCATAACTCTCCCCCTCCAGCACCGCTTCCTACAAATTCAATCGGCGGTGTCAAATTTGAGTGGGAAAGACGCCACCTCGCGCGCATCGCTCTCTGATATGTCAATCAGTAGAGCCCGGATGTTCATCACCGCTGCGGTATAAAAATACACCAGCGGTCAATCAGATCAACGAAAATATTGTATTTACATTTCTTATCATAGTGGTGTAGTGGTGGTGGTAGTAGAATTAAGATAATTATCATTAGTTACTAAACTATTTAATAGTGCAACAGTAAAGAAAGAAAGGTATTTGCGTAAGTGGAACATGAGATATAGTAAAATATAATTTATAAGAAATATTATTTAAATAATAAGGAAAAATAAACGGAATGTTTATCATTTATAAGATAAATTACATTATTGTCCAGTAAAAGTCCCTGGTAATTTTCAGTACGGTACTATTATTATATTGGCCCTCGTCGTAGCCTATTTAGTACCGGCACTATACAATACTGTATATTACCGGTATTTGGCAGCCTATATCTAAAACCACACGTCAAAATCATATTGGCGTTCGCCGAGATACAATCATTTCTCTCTCTCTCCCTCTCTCTCTCTTTCTCTCTCTCTCTTTTTTTTTTTTTTTTTTTTTTTGGGAGGTGGGGGGGGGGGGTTGGAAAGGTAATTTTCTACCACCTTTTCTTGCTTATTTCCTTTGTTAGTTGTCCAATTCCCGTGGATGTTTGCTTTAATATTCAGTCATATAACATTGAACTAATTAGGCCTATAGGGCTTGTCTTAAATATGTATTTCTTAAAAATAAAATTGGAAAAACCAAAAAGAAAATCACATGACAATTATTTATGAATACGGTACCGTAGCTCTTTCAGAATTAAAAAAAAGCTTTTCATTTCCGCCAATGACAGTACATAAATGCAATATGAAATCACCGATACATCAATTAAATATTTGTTAACACAGTAAAACTATTATTAAAACAATTTACAACACGTATAAAAGGGGCAAAAACAATAATTATAATACAAATTCAAATGATTTAAATACATTTCCATGGCATGTGAATGGTCAGATGAATCGGTTACTTGTTAAAATGAATTCAGAAGTTGGTGGAAAATATAAATTGATGGTTCATCGTTTAACAGAATTATATAAAGAGGAAAGTCACTGACCGTGCGTGGATTTCCCGCGGCGCACGATTAAAAATCGTAACGGATTTTGATTTTGGCGAACTGAAATTCTAATTACGTTTTTATGAGTCGATATATGGCCAACGGATCTTTTAATTGAAAATTTCAATGGAAGTTTTATTTTTGGGTGGTAATATCTTCTTTAATTTGGTAAGTTTTTACAAGTTCGCTCATATCTGCGAACTGCAATAAAATAAATTAAAAGAAAAAAAAACTCAAGTTGGCTTTATCTATCGCAACATAATTATTTTTTTTTAAAAATAGTAATCTTGAGAATTGTGTATAAATCCTAAATATTATGTTGAATGGTGGATTGCGAAATAAACCAACCTAAATAACCTAAATATGACGGCTCAAACTTAGGGCCTACTGTTCTTTTCTCTTCCCAATGTGGGTCAGTTGGACTGAGGAATTCATCAAACATACAGTAGTTTAAAATGCCCGGATACGCGACAAAACCTTAAAATTCAAGTTATTATTAACAGATCACACTCAGAATGTAGGATGGTTGATTTGATATCCGAACATTTGAGAACAAAAAGTGTTTCGTACTACATGTTGTTTGTTTTTTTTAGAAAAAAAAAGCTATGTAAATTGCGCATTAAAATTTAATTTATTAACAGATCAATCAGAATGTAGGATGGTTGATTTCATATCCGAACATCTAGGAACAAACATTTTTTAAAGAGGGTTTCGTACATTGTGATTACTAGGAAAGTATCATAATTGAGTTTGCTGCCACCAACGTACGACTATAGTTATCAAATGTCGGTATACCAAATAGTTCTTTGATCATACTTTGTTGCAAGGAAGTGATAGTAGAGAACAGAGAGTATACACAAATTCAAAAAGAAAAACAAACAAAAATACATTATTACAACAAAACAAGCCTAATTTCATAATTATTGTCATCAACAGTAAATTCCATGAACTGCTCAAACCTTTATGGGTACGGTAAAAGGTAAAAACGTGGTCCATTCATTAATGGTTAGAGCCTCGTTTGGATTAAACGCCTCACTCGAATAAACGACTTCTAAACTACTGTAAACAAGACTAAATGAAGCAACAATCTCAACACATTTTACTAATGTTCTTATCCAGTAGAATTACATTTTTCCTCACCTGGTTGGGGGTCAATGCTTCTTCATGGTGATGCAGTAACACATTGATGAGAATTTATGTGTTGTATAGTTCCACATTTACAATGAAATTAATGGGCGTTTATATAAGTATACATACGTAACCTATACATTTTACAACAAAAACAAACGCCTCCCTCAAATAAACGCCGGGCCTCACATAAACGCCTCCCTCTAATAAATTCCGCTCAACCATTCACAACGGGGCGTTTATTCGAACTGTTTACCAGCAAGTATAAGGTGTCTACCAAGATATATAGCAAAGGCATTATTTAGCTGTTAATTAAAGAGAATGGTTTTTCTTTTATATTCATAAATTTAATTCATACGCATACAGTAAATACAAATTAGGCAATTTCAAATTCAAATTGAATTTTCTATTTTTTTTTTTTCTTTTTAAATCATGACAAACAGTGCATCTTGAAGAATCGTTTTCATGTTTGTTTTTTCTGCATCGCCAAAAAATTACAAGCAATAACGTGAGAACTAAGCCAAAATAAAACGTGGATTGGAGTAGTTAAATATTGTAAAGCAGAAATAAAGCAATCTCTGGATCGATCCTCGTCATCCCCTGAATCCTTGCAGCATCTTTTACAGGATGAGCAGGCTATAAGAAAGTATAATACATACTCCAAGTATTGAAATACACGCCATCGTGTTGGGATTCAATATTTCGACATTAATTATGTCATCATCAGGAATGTTCATTATGTCATCATCAGGAATATCATTCCTGATGATGACATAATTAATGTCGAAATGTTGAATCCCAACACGATGGCGTGTATTTCAATACTTGGAGTATGTATTATACTTTCTTATCTGAGATTAATCAGTGGACCTTTCAGCAGGCTATAAATATCAACATTTTCGGACAGTGCCGTTATTTCAGCTCACACCGAAAGTTGTACTATACGTATTACAGATTGGTTTTTTTTTTCAATCTTAAAACAAACCAGATATATTTATTATTTTTCAATCTTAAAACAAACCAGATGAATTTATTATTTTTCAATCTTAAAACAAACCAGATGAATTTATTATTATCAATCATTATTATATTTTGTTCATACTGAAAAGTATTATAATTAATGTACAATTGGTTTAGCGCCCTCTATCTAACTACTACGGGGGAGCTGAGGTCGCGAGGAGAAGATTGGATGATCGATTATTCAATGTTAGAACCGCTCATGCGTGTGATTTCAGATATTTCATCCGGTTCACGCCCCGTATACTACTCACGAGAATTAAAGCCCTGCCCCTGTTGGAGAGTTGATTTCTGAATCTAAAGCGATTGTTTAGTCGAAAAAAGGGCAAGAAAACCGGCCATAATGGGTGGTGAAGGCTTTTTATTCACTCCAGATTATATAGGACTGTTTTACGGTCTGATTTATGAACTTCCAGAGTATATACGCACGGAACCAGTTGAACCAGAGGGATTTATTGGCGAATTCAGAAAGTACTGCAGATACGAAAACACAGATTTGTTGATTATCGTTTTGCTAGCTTGTGTATGGACATGTGTAAGACATTTCTTTACCCAATATATATTCAAGGTAGGTTGTTAAACCGTTTAAAAATCACTTGTCTGTGTATTTAATTTCCTATTATGTTTTTACACTTTGTTTTATAATATGTAAAAATTTCAGCCAATTTTACTTAACTTAGCCTAGGCCTATAGGCCTAGTCTTCGAGAGAGAGGGAGGTTACGACGCGACAACGAGTGGTGACAATGATGAGAGGGTTGACAATACCTGGCATGCATAATAATAATAATAATACTGGGCCTAGGCCTACACTGATTGATGATATGATGCAAGCTAGGGCAAAGGCAATTGAAATCAGGTGCGATCCATGGACAGCGATTATGCAGCCGATTTCGAATATCTAATGCAGTGGGTTTAGTTAGAACATTAATTAAAAATATATTCAGCTGCACATACCCACGGTTCATTCATGGCATGGATCGCACCTGATATTCGGCACTTTACTTGAAGAACCACCATTTTAAATTGTGTCATTACTATTTTTATAAGGTGGCTAATTTATAAGTTCTAGGCCAGATGGTCGAAATCAAGTTTGCTGAATGCCAGATTGCCGAGGCCAGTTTGCCGACGCAAAAACAATGAAAGTCAATTAAAAGCAGTGAAACATTAACAGCAGCATAAAATCATGATGGATTACCGGTAGTCTCTTACTTACTATTACCATGGACCTGTAAGTCCATGCCCTTACCATGGCTGCAACTGTACGAAAGGTGGGGGGGGGGGGCGCTCCCTTGTGCCAGCGGAAAGGTATGGCCGGCTGCCAGACTTGACATTGAGAAGCCATTCCAAAACACAACAGGAGACAAATGTGCATCTGGCCTGTCTCTTATACCCATCTAGATGTGTATAAGAGACAGGGCTTGAAGGTTATAATATTTACTGTTATTATGTTGTGTTGCCCTCCGCAACCGACCAAAATTTTTCAAAAAATCGGGTCTTTTTTTTTTTTTTTGTTAAAGGTCGTCTTTTCACTCAAGTACAAATTCGAGAAATACCACTTCCGAAATTAACATTTAGTACATAAAATCTAAAACAGGCATGTATTTATACCAAAATCAGGCCATAGATGCACTCTTAAAATTGGTAAAATAGAAAAGGCATAATTTTTTAGCACCTAGCGCGACGACGACGATGTATGCACGCAAAATCGGATCTCTCGCGCTGAGCTGTCAAGCCACGATTAGATCTAAAGACGCCTAGCCATTGCCTATTTTTTACTACTGTACCTATTGGTTGCTTGAATCAAAAGTCGTATTTATAATACCTTAGGGTATATTGGGTAAAAAATAAAAGTGGGCTTATGGTCTAGCCATCACTTGAAAGCCGGTATGTAACTAGACTTTTTTGTAGGCTGCGTTACGGTTTTATGCCAACCATGGAAAAATATCTCGCAGTTAACTTCGATTGTATTACATAGAGGACACTTGTTTGGCCATTTTTCAAAGCCATATTATGGTTTTGCTCGATCTGTCTGTGCGTGATCATGTGGATCGGATGCACAAATTATTTTTTTTTAATAAATATTTCCTTATAAAACAGATTTATTTTTGTTTAATTTGTTTCAATATACTGGTTAGCATATTTATTCCTTCATTAATTTGAATATTTTTTGTTTGGCATGGTTGACATCGCTCTATTGTGGTGCCTACAATAAAGGCCTTAGGCCTAGGATCTTCATAATAGGGACTGCAGTTTTAGTCCTATCCTATTTCAGGTACAGTATTACTAAAGTTAAAAAAATAAAAAAATTATTACTATTCAACACAAATTCAACAGAAAAACTTGTTCATGCCTTTATTTCCACGAAACTTGATTATTGTAATTCACTTTTATTTGGCCTCTCTTTTTATTTAATTAAACGTTTACCTGTACAACAAATTCAAAATTCTGCTGTTTGCAAATACAACCTCACTCCCAGGTGCCACCACATCACTCCCATCCTGAAAAACCTGCACTGGCTACCTATTCAGCAACATATTATTTTGAAAATAATTGTTTTTTAAGGCTCTTCGATTCCAAACTGAAAGTCTAAATAACTATGTCCCAATACCACAGCCTACCGCATGACGCATGAATCACCACAATATATATATATATATATATATATTAGGTTGAAACCAGATCATTAAGATAAAAGTGCTCAATGCAGTAGTAGAACAAGATGACACTTGGTTACCAATTCAACATTTCATTGCACTACAGGCTATTTTATGAGGTACTAGGCTCTGAATCTAGCTTACTGTAGCACCTGACAATTTAGGAAGTACTCATGAAACAGCCTGTATTGCAATAACATATTGAATTGGTAACCAAGTGTCATCTTGATTTTATATTATATATACGCTAGGGCCAAAATTTTTTTTTTTTTTTTTTTCGCCAAATTGAAAATGCTTTAGCTTTATTGTACCTGCTTGATAAGTACTTGTACTTATTCTTCAGTTTTCAATCAGTTGATGGAATTATATTTTCCCAAATATTCACAAAATGTTGCAGCCCTATTTTTATCTAGAGGAGGTACACTAATTTTAACCATAGCTATTGGTTAACCTATATTTGATTGCTATTAATAATTCAATTGTTTTGCAGGAATGGATATTCTGTGAATAGTCCAGCCGATGATCCCCACTGACTTCAGTCAAGTTATGAAACTTGAGACACTTAGCATCTGATGGAGAAGCACAAATTCCTGTATACCAAACCCAGTGTCATTTTGATATTAATTGTACTGAAATATGCTTATGATAATGAACAATTAAATATAGTATGATCCTTCCTGTATTCTTTTGCATTGACGTTAAATTGACTGTTAATTAATATAGTAAAATTGTTTGTTAATTAGTAAAAATATTTTTTTTTCCTGAAGCAGTTGACAATATATATGGTAGAACACTGAAAGATCAACAAATAAAGTTTGAAATGTAAAATCACTGTGGTTTGGATCATTTTTTTTAGTTTCGTACAATGACAGTTACAATGTATTTTAATCCAAATACATGCAACTAAATTGTTTTCTCATTACCTGCAATGTAGCCTCTTTATTTTTACAAATTAAACAGAATGATTATATTTATTGAAAAATATATCTGATAGCTATGGAGATCAGAACAATTAAAAGAATTGCACATTTTCTCCTTTTTGTCTATTTGTTTTATTTATGGCCCAATAGAATGCTATAAATATTGTTTGTAAATTTGGAGTTGCATATTACTCACTGTAACTTAGAAATAATACCAAAAAAAATTTGATACTAAGGGGTGAAATGTGTACGTGTCACTTGTGATTAATTTAAGATTAAAATATAAATGTATTGAAAAACAAATGGATGTCATGTAATTAAATCAATTAGGCCTCCTTTTTGGCCAACATACTGTACAATGAACAATAATTAAACCTTTCTCATTAAACAATAATTTCTTACTCAGCTTCTCATCAAATGTTAATTAAAAATTAAAAAAATTGATATATTTATTCATTGTTTAAATTTCGGAAATACAGCTTTATGCAAAGGATGCAATTGTCCATAGGTACGATGATATTCACCCATTCGTCGTACGTAGCAAATTGAGGTTCCTAGATCTTAGCCAGTTTGAAAAATTAAATATTTATACAGTATTATTATTATTATTTAATGCTATATTAACTACAATTACATTACTGTATGTCAAAACTAATATGTAGGCCTATTTCAAATAGATGTCTGCAAACCCGACGTGAATATTGACTATTGTGCTCTCTCTAGGCTAGGCCTAAACCTGAATGTGCTGAACTCGGCGAGAAAGCATGAGCTTGGCTGTATCATATCGATAATAATACTGTATTTTATTAACTGGCGTGAAGTTGGTTACAGTACTTTCCATGCAGCACACTTCTGTTGTGAAGGTGCGTTTAAATATTACCTCCATGGTTGGACGAATTGTGATATGGGCCTAGCAATCCTCGCGGTGCACAAGCTGAGCTGACCTGCACCTGAATCCTCCTTATCATTAGCTGGGCCGAGGGGAAGCGTAATTAGCATATTTAATATATGCGACGGTAATTAGCCAATCGGAAATCAAAGTGTTAAATACGTCAGGCACCACGAAATCGTGGTGCCAGCACTCGAAATCCTCACTGTTTTCCCAGTCCCTAATCCCAGAAAAAGTATACTATGGAACGCCATGCAAGTAAGTAATATGGAACGCCATTTGTGCCAAAATCGATTTATTCTTAAGAATTTCAACTGATTAAGACAAAGATTAGGGACTGGAACCCAGTCTAGGCCAATTAGTGCACTGGCCACAACAAAAAATGGAAATTTCAACAAAAAAAAAAAAAAAAGGTTTTCTTCCTAATTGTACATTTGAAGCATTTAACCATCCCATTACTACACTGTTTACATTTATCAATTTTATTTTATATTTATTTTTAGGAAAAAACTTATTTGCTAAATAGGAAAACAAAATTTTGTTTATATTTTTTTTTCCCACCCTCCTCTGATGATCTTTAAAAAAATAAGTTCGCGAAACAATTAATAAAAAAAATGTCTCGCCTTAGCTTTAAAAAAATATGAGGTTGAGACAAGGGCATTCTGTTGGGATCTGGGATGGCAATAATCTGTGTGCAGTAGTTTTCATATTCTCATATTCTGTATCTTTTGAGCTTCTGTGTCAAACATCATTTTCTATAATACTGTAGGCCTAGTGGACAAAGTAATGGTGTAATGTGAGAAAATGTTATTATGCAGGTACTTGCTACTGGAGCTGAAGGTGGTCTACAATGGGATTATCAACCCGAAAACTGAATGACAATAATTTGACCTTCAGTTATTCAACTGCACTTTTGTATGTGATCTGGGCCTATGCTTAATGCAGGCTGTCCAGCTTAACAATATCCTGTATAGATTAGTTTCTAAAGGATGAACAAACAAAACAACACCAAAATACTCTATTGTTTTGTAATATTAACAATGGCAGCGCCAAAGATTCTCGAAAAGGTGCTTCAAAGTTCCCTGACAGATTGTCCACACCAAC